TTCTCCCAAGAATGAATGTTAAAATGTCTCCGCAAGCTTGTCAGACAGACATATGACCTTTTGCATACAATGCAGATATAATAGACCCTTCCATCTACTATTAACTCATAGTGATCATCATGTTTTACTTTCATGCGTTTGCTTGCTGACTCATTGCCAGACGTTTTTGGTATTTCATTCTCAAGTCTGGCTTCCCCTTCATCAGGGTCATCTTTGACAGGGATCACTATGTCATAAGTATCTTCACCGATATTCGCATAAACCTTGCAACCAGTCGACAAGCCTTCAATTTCAGTAGCTGTGTCTAAAGTAATGATCTTCTGACCCTCCATTAGGTGTTTTGATCCTAAACCTGGATCATTAGTGTTTCTAGTAATTATATCTGAAATTTTTAAAGAATTGGAAAGTGGTTCTTGCAGAAGTGTAGGAATCTGCATCTTCTGTATCAATGATCCATCAAAAGTCGTATTTTGGGACGTATCAGCCTGTGGGACCAAAGATGTATTACTGACTGCGGAGTCTGGACTGGAGCTAATAGTGTCATCATCATCATCTATAATTTCCTCCTCCTCCTCTTCACTGGCTTTGTTTCCTGTTAAAACAGCACTATTTGGTGTCTGCTGATTCTGCATAAGTAAATTGATTGAAGAAGACATATGATTTGGAAGTGAAGAACTGACATTTGGTGGTGTAGTAAGTGGTGCCTGATTTAACAAAATAATATTGGGAGTCAGATGTGTTGGAGCCGAAGATACCAGCAATTGTTCACTTCCTTGTGTCTGGCTCAGAGTTGCCTGATTCACAGGAATAGGAAGTTTCTGAGTAGGTGTGATATTTGTTAAAGGGGGAGAGTTATTGCTAGCACAAGGTGCAACATCTGAAATAGCAACAGGGCCTGTGTTAGGCTGGACCTGTGTCACTGCATTGTTATTTGGCAAAGTCTCCTTTGCAGGCAAAATCTCAGAGCAGAAAATGACATCATCATCATCATCATCATCATCAGAATCAGTAACAATGATCTTTTTCGTTTCATAATCTTCAGCAGATAATGAAAATGACTCTGTTATGATAGGCATTATAGTCGCCCCATTATCTTGGGTTTCATCTTTTGATTTTTGTATTACAAGGTTTTTGTCACTAGAATCAGGAGGCAAGGTTTCAGCACTACCATCCTGAGGTGTACCCGAGATGCTTTTAACCTGTGATAATGGGACACCAAGCTCTGCTATAAATTTCACTCCTAATAACTGCCCTGATTTAATTAACTCATCAAGTAAATCTGCTCTAACACGGACAATTTTAGAACTATAGATATAATTGAGGATTTCTGCAAAGATCTCTGCTCTTATAAAGCTCAGTTCAACAACTTGCCCAGCAACTGAGAAGAGCTGATGGAAGTATGTACTAGAAGCTGAAAGAATATTCCTGTGGGCCCGGAATTTTCGGTCTTCCACAATAACAGTAACATCACAAAAGAGTCCATGGCCTCGTTGCTCATTCAAGGAGTTCAGCAGACTGCCAGAGTACTGAATGTCTGTAGCAGAAATCAGTTTTCTACTCTCCATGCCTATAAGAGAAAGGGAGGGGGAGGGGACAAGGAAGGATTAGGGAGAAAAAAAAAAACAAAAGTACTTCATCATTCAATATTTAAGCCATGGAATCGTTAAATAGTTTATCAAGTTTTAACAGAAGTTTGACATAACTTTTTGGCTTTTTCAGAAACTGTTCATACAGACCGGCATTTGGACGATGTATCAAATCTCATGACTTCTCCCTGAAAAGAGTCAAGCAAGTTTTAAATTGCTAGACAGATTAGAACAGTAATCTCCATAGTCACCTTCCTTTGAATCTGATACATGCATCTCCACTAGGAGTTTTTTAAAGATTAGAATTCATTTACTTAGTCCCAATTTGGGGTTTCCTCCTCAAGAAGAGCTAAGAGGGTTATTTTTTTGCTTTTGTTTGTTTGTTAAGAGTACCGGGGATTTAAGCCAGAGGATCTCTACCACTGGGCAACAGATATCCCCAGCCTCCACCTCACCTTTTTTTTAATGTTTAATTTTTAGTTGTAGTTGGACATAATATCTTTATTTATTTATTTTTATGTGGTGCTGAGGATTGAACCCAGGGCCTTGCATGTGCTAGGCGAGCACTCTTGCCACAACCCCAGCCCCCCACCTCACCATTTTAATTAAATTTTGAGATGGTGTCGCTAAGTCATGAAGGTTCACCTAGAACATGTAATCCTGCCTCAGCCTTGCAAGTGCTGGGGTTCCAGGTGTGAGCCACCGTACCAGGCAAGGGTTAATTTGGCTGTTTTAAAATTGTTTTAAGGAGGGGCTGGGTTTTGGCTTAGGTGGAGCGTTTGTTCACCTTTTAGTTGTAAATAAAAGGTAAAATAAAGGTATTTTATTTTATTTACAACTAAAAAATAAATATTTTTAAAAAATTGTTTTCAGGAAAATCCTCACCATAAATGCATAATAGTTACTTCATCTGTAATGAATGACTTAAATGTCAGTATTCAAAACTGAGTCTGAAATACATACTCTTCCTAAATTTTTTTTTAAATTTTTATTATTAGTTGTTCAAAACATTACATAGTTCTTGATATATCATATTTCATACATTTGATTCAAGT